AAGGTCTACTATATTTTATTATAGCTATATAGTCGGAGAGAGCTTAGAATAGTACTATTTAATTTAAGTTCCTAGTCTAATTAATTTTTAACCTCTACTCTCTATTATATACTATCTTTCTAGTATTAAATTTAAAGACTATAATTAAATATACTAAAGATATAATTTAGAATAATAAGATATATAGAGTTATAGAGATACTTTAGATAAAGATATTACTTTAGAAAAGAGACTTCTATTAAAATAAATAGAGTATATAGAGTAGATAGAGTAGGTAGAGTAGATAGAGAAGCTAAAATACTATATACTATTTATTCTATAAGAGTAATTAGTATATAGTAAATAAGTAGTACTAGTAAGCTAATTAGTATTAAGAGAATAACTAGTACTAATTATCCCATTAGTATAAACAGTACGTTCGGTATAAACGGGACGTTCGGTATAACTAGTACGTTCGGTATAAACGGGACGTTTAGTATAACTAGTATGTTCGGTATAAACGGGACGTTCGGTATAAACGGGACGTTCGGTATAAACGGGACGTTCGGTATAAACGGGACGTTCGGTATAAACGGGACGTTCGGTATAAACGGAATACTTAGTATAAATTGTATAAAGCCGTCCCGTTAGGATAGATAGTAAGTAGGTCCGCCTAATGGATATAATGGGATGAAAGAATACTTAGGGAGTACTTAGGAGTACTTGGAAGCGCTGTATCTTTCCTAATATAGCCCGTGATTAGAGAGAAGTAATATATCTCCTACTAAAAATATATCTATATACTACGAATATATATCGGGTAGCGTGTCTTTGCTCTAATTATTACTATCGTCCTTATCTTTATTAATAATCGATAAGGACGTAAGATAGATTAGCGATAATTAGGTCCGCACGGCGAGATTCTATACCTCCTTACTAATAGTTATAACTTACTAGTATAATTTACTATAGTATTATTAGAATATTAATATCTCCTTCTAAAAATTAAGGATAGGGTTTAGGCGTCTAAGCTAAGGTATCCCTAGAATTATATTCTATTAGCTAATATTAGCTATGATAAATTTATTAGACATCTACTATTTTATTATCTTTAAGTTATAAACTTCGTAATTCGTTATAGCTTTATCTAAAGTTCTAACTTTATATCTATTAACTATAATAGTTCGGCTAACTTTACTAAGATCGTACGATAATCTATACTCCTTTATAAGAATCGACGAAATATAGTTATCTTCTATACTAGTATCCACGAGGGCCTATATAGTTTTATTACTATTTACTATAGGTAATAATACTTTTAGTAATATTAGGTCTTTACTCGCTAGAAGGCGCTACGGCTCCTCCTAAGTATATATAATTTAGCTAAGGACGCGGTTAGGTCTTATATACTAGTCTATTCTTTTTTTAGATTCTTATAGTTAGATAAAATATATTCTATTTCTCTATACTTATAGTAATAAAGTGCGCTATAATCCTACTATTTTATAATAGGCGTTATATTTAAGTCTATACCTTATTCTTTTCCGTGTTAAGAAGTACCACCTTAATTATTTTAGTATCCTCTTAACGCGTTTCTACCCCGATTTACGCTCTTCTAGTACTAATTATAGTAAGGTTACTCTTAATCGAACGTATTTAATCGACCTCGTTTCTAACCCGTATAGAGTTTATCGGTTTTACCTAGAGAGCCACGTTCCTTAAGGATACGGTAGTATTTATTAGCTTTCTCCTCTAATTCGTGTAGATAGTTAAAACTTAATAATACTATTTCTAGTCTTTCGTGGATTAATAGAAGTAGTACTTCGCGAAACTAGAATATACGAATATTTTTCTATAGTATAGGGATATTATTCTATAGGTTTTAGAGGTATTATAGTAGTTAAGTAGGTGTCTAGTTCGGTCGTTATACTACGCTTCTTAACTTAGATAGTGCCTTTCTTTTACGTTCTCTATCTGTTCCGAGGGTATTTAGTATAAATATAGCTAAATATTCCTAGGTTATCGTAGATAGTAGCTATACTTCCTTCTATCTATTCTATTAATTATAGGATTATAAGTCTAGGTATCGTTCTCTAAATAAAATATATTATACTTTAGTAGAAAAGAGTAGAGGGTTATCGAGGAAGTACTTTTCGTAGTCTCTCTTCTAGTCTTTCTACTCCTTTTAGTTCTTCTCTATAAATATAGTCGGGTCTTTAGATTTTAGTATACCTAGGGAAGAAGTAGAGTAAATTAGTAACGAAGCGGTCGGATATATAGTGGATTATTATAACTCTAATAGTAGGTGAACTAATTCCGCCTAAATTAGTATAGGAAGTCGTCTATCTACTATCGTTTAGCGTAGTTCTTTAAGAGACTCCTTAAGTTCTTATCTCTTTACGAGGAGTTTCGCGCGTTCTATCTATTCTTTAAGGGTTTAAATCTCTTAAGTCTAATTCGTGACGTATTTCTAAAGTTTAGTAATAGTTTATTATAATACCTCGCGTGGCTCTACCACGACTTATTATCCGACTTTATATTATTAGAAGTTACTCGGCGTATCTACTATTTCTTTATCTAAAAGCTCTATGATTTAGTCTAATATTTCTACTTCTCGGTTAGAAACGGCCGGGATTAATACCAATTATAGAGGATCCCTATTATTTAATATAGTATTACTTATCTCTATAGTAGATCGTGTCAACCTTCTCAGTTCTAGTTAGACTATCTTAACTATAGTACTATATAGAGAGTAATTTAAATATAAGAATAGGGTTATTAGATAGTAGTATAGTTAGATAGAATAATAGGGTGTATTCTATTATAGAATAAATTACTACCGAACCCTTTCGGTAGGAATCCGAGAGTATATATATAAAGAGACGCCGATCTATCTAGTACGTGACTATTTACCGCCCTTTACGTTACCTCCTAACCCTATTAGCTAAGGTACGTGTAGATTAGGTTCTATCTAAGGCTAAGTTCTAATAATATACTCGACGAATAGTACCTAAAATAGATATATATATAGACTATTACTAGCTAGCTAAGCGACTTACTTATTGGCGAGTCGGCGACGAGTAAGTTACTTAACGAGTTTGTAAAAAAGTCTTCTAATCTCCTTAACTTTAGTAACCTCTCTACTATCTCTACCTTATCTAAACCTCTCTAAATTAGTAACTACCTTCTACCGGAGCGTCTTATTAATATAGTACCTATCTATAGTATATTTAAAGAAGCGTAGAGCCTACTAATTAGCGTAGCTATATATAAATATAATATAGAGAAAGTTCTTAAAAGTTCGAGATTACTAACGTATCTAGGTATACTACCTACGAATCTATACCTTTATTACCGCCTATACAAGCTTAATAGAATTAAAGTTAGATAAGTATAGTAGCGTATACCGTATAATATAGCTAGCGCTAAGTATAAGTGGCTTAATCTATTAGTTTATATAAAGTGCGAGATTATCTATAATAATTATTATTATACGCCCGGGGTATTTTACCTTAAGGGTAGGTAATAGATATACTTATAGCTAGGTATAGAACTTATCCGTTAAGAAATAACCTTCCTTTATCTAATAGTAGATAAAACCATTAGCTATAATAGCTCTATATACGCTATACGTAGGTCCTCGATTAAGAGTACTAATCTTAGTTAGAGTCTATCCTTTTAGTACTCTAGCTTAACGCCTCTATCTAATTTTCTTATTAAAAATAACCTTATCTAAGAAGATATATAAGTCTACTAGTAGCTCCGTGATATCCTTAAGGTATAAAGTACGCGCTATCTCTAAGCGCGTACTACTAATACGTTTTAATAGCTTACGATCCTACCCTTACTCGGATAACTCTTTAGATAAAAGCTATTTAGATATAGTAAGATTAAACTCTTTATATATCTATCTAGCTATCTTATTAAGGTATAGCTAGCCCTTACGAAGTAGTCTCTTAAGTAGTTATTATATTATATAATCGCTTAGTTAATAAGGTAGACCATAACGTATTAACCATGGTTTATTTCTCTATCTATATATCTTAAGGTTAAACCTTATTCTATATACTATATTCTTACTAACTTTAGTAATAGCGATAATCTTATTAATAGATATATTATGTTATAGAAGGAAGTCGATTCGTCCGTATACGGAATCAGGATAGATAATACTCTAGGGTACTATATATACACGCGTTAGTAAGTTAAAAATACTAAATATTATATATACTAACTCTTATATACTATATTATATAGTTATAGACTCTATATATGTGTAGTGCGGTGACGATGCCGTAAAATGTTAATTATATATAAAAACGCGTGTTGGTGGCACAGACGTGCATCGGGCGCCAAGCTTTCCCATGTAACTATGGACAAACGGATCCTTCTGCAGACTCCTTCCGACATGCTGCAACACCCTCGTTCCATGGTCCACGCTGACAGCCCTGTTCAAACGCTCTATGATCCAATAATCCGAAGTTATTACCCGGTACGCTCGGAAACGGGTAGCGGCAGCGTGTGAGAAATAATATGCCATGTGCGTGAGAAGTGTGAATGCCAGGAAAGATGAAATGCAAATATCATTCGAAAAGTAAAATCCTCTTCACCGTAACCAATAGCCATTCTCCTATGTGGAGTATGCTGCACGCCAAGAAGAACAAAGGGGCACAGTGTAACCATCCTATCCTGTCGTTGATCAAAACAAATGCTCACGAATTGACTCAATAGTCCTGTTTGATATTGCTTCTTTGCAGCATCCTCACCGTCCATTTGGGCCTAGCACAGTCTGGAAGTCTGGATTGTAAAGCCGAGCCCAAAAGTCGTTGTACATGATGTGCCGCTTGCACTTGCTCAATAGCTGGAACTAGTGGCGTATAAGCATGCTGCACATTGGAAGTCCAAAGACTCGACGACTGATTTCTGGGTCAGACAAGAACGGTCATCCGGGTTCCTGGAACGAAATTTCGGTGAGACTATGGTGATTTGTGTGTGTTCACTCGCTTACCGGTTCGCCTGAAGATAGCAAATCGTCAACCCTAATCGCCGCATTGCTGTTCTTGGCGATTTCGACTGGCTGAGATTCGTGCTGTCCAGTCATTGCCCAGACCAGCCCCGTCAAGCTCGCTCTCGCCACACTGATGAACCTGCGCATGATCGACGAGAGCAGTATTATGGTGATCACCATAGGAGGAGGAGGCGTCATGTGTGAGTGTCGTGATCATTGTGGGTTTCTGCGCCGCACTTGTTTCATGAGCTTCGTGAGTCGGTGATAGTAGACCATTTTTGTCTTCAGTCATGATGTCTGGGGAGAGATCGGATATCTCAGATCTTGGTATGTTCATCAAAGAGTCCTCTACCGGACACGCAGGCTGACGAGGCGTCTCGTTCTGATGACTGATGGATGCCTCACAGTCAACGCCTCTGTCTAGATCTTCGGCTGCGAGATTGAAGTCCTCCAGCTCCTGCGTGCTATCCCAGGGGGGACGCCCAGATTGATCCATCTGCGGCCTTTCTGTTTGCATAAGCGGAGATCTATACATCGCATCAGTTGGATGACTACATATCATTATTATCCGTTGCGAGCTAATTACTTACATGGCAGGACCTCCTACTCCACTCGCCCAAAGCTGCTTCTGCTCCATCTCTCTAGCTACATCGAACTTGAAGTCACGAATCTCACCAACAGACGGTAGCGCCTGATACGGTGCCAATGATAACGACGATTCGATTCTTCTTTTGCAGTGCACCTCTGGCTGCAGTATGGATGGAGTACCGTAGTGGCTGACGCTCTCAATAATGTCAATGCACGAGGCTGCAGAATCGCCGGTAGCTCTATTTGTGGCTTCATGCATATGCATATGCATCTGCACCTCGTTGTCTTCTGCCGGAGCCCTTGAAGCTTCCGGCTCCGCGATTGTATCGACGACTTGCATATCTCGTCGATATTGCCTCGCCAATAAGCAATTGTCTTCGGAATCGCCTGCCGTACCTATCAGAGCTTCGGCGGACTGCTTCAGCGCATTAATGTGTGTATTGCTGCTGCTAAGTCGCCGCATCATGTCGATGTTTGCATCACCTGCTGCACGCTCTAAGACAATTGCAGGTGCGTTATTCAATGCTTCCGAGGTTATGTTGTCGTTGTCCGGCCTATTAGCAGTAGAGCTGTTAATTACGTCCGACGACGTCTCATTCAGCAGAGTATGCTGGCAAGGAGATATCGGGCATCCAGTCTGTGCATCGGCCATATCATCCTCACGCATGATGATAGACTGTGGTCTACTATGATGTAGTTGCGCCTCGAGCACACTATCGTTGTCTAAGACAGCTGCCTGTTTGTCCTGGTGTAGATGACCGTGGATAGACCTTGTGCTGATCACGTTGTTGCAGTCCAAGGATGATTCTGCCTGGTTGCAATAGTCTCTCACTTCGTTTATGCGTTCCGGAGAAGCCAGGTCTGCAGTGTGTCCATTGGAAATAGCCACATCACAGACTACGATTGGCCCGGGTCCGGAGTGCGTACTTGCTTCACGTACACCATCAGCCTCTTGAGACGCTGCAGTGACAGCGTGTTCTTCAAGCATATCAACATCTTGCCCAACCACATCAAGACCAGACCTTGCACAGGAACTAGGCGCCCTTGCCCACTGCACATCCCCACAAAGCTCATAGTCGGGGTCAATCTGCGCACCCAGAAAGCCAGTGAAGTCTGGAAAGGCAGCTATCAATTTCTGCCACTTCTCCCTTCCGAAGTAGACTAGACGTTCCCAGTTGTCGCCAAGGCTCAGCGTGAGGTCTCTGATGAACCGTAGAGCGAATTCTTGACTTGCAGTCGAGAGACCGAGGCTCTTGAAGTCATCGACTATGATTTGTAGGTGTACAACTGCTATGCCGATGATGCTTCGGCGCACGTTGATGTAGCGTTGCTCCTGGGAGACCGTGGAGAGCTTCCCCTGGAGCTTTGTGATCGTGATGTCGCGATCGTGGAGGAGTGCTTGCCATTGTGTGATTGCGGCTTTGTGGTCCATAGACGCATTTTCTGTTGCTCGAGTCATTTCTGTAAGAGAGTTTCTGGTCTCTCTCAACGTGTTGGACAAGGCCTTGAGCTCTGTCTGAAACCTGTCTGATGCAGTGGTGGCCTGCTTCTCCTTAAGTCGCAGTCGAGCATCGAGCCAGGTACATCTCCCTGACTTGTGTGCAGCGTCTTGCTCCGCTACCTCAAGTTTTTGTTTTGACTCCTCGAATTTGCAGACTGCGGTAAGATGCTTCTTTTCGAGACACTCTATCTTCGCCTTGTAGCTTTGTTTCAATGATGCGAATGCCTCTTCCATCGTGGTCTTTTCATTCTCGCAGCTCTCCCTTAAAGCCTTACGCTCCACTGCCGCTGCCCCGAGTCTTTTCACGAGCTCTTGATGCTTTGCGAAACTCCCTGCGCGAGCTCTGTTCCACAGCTCTAGATTGCGGCTATCCATAGCCTTCTGATTCTCCCTCGCCGCCTTCCATCTCTCTGCATGAGCTCTCTTCAAACGCCCAACCTCATCCTCACCAGCCCTCTTCAACTCACCAATCCGATCCTCAACCCCCTTCCTCACACCCCTCTCAGCAGCCAACTCCCTCTCCAAAACACCCCTTTCCTTCTCCACAACCCCCAGTCTCTCCACCACCCCATCCCTCTCCCTCTCCACAACCCCCAACCTCTCCAAAACCACACCCCTCCTCTCCACCTCCTCATCAACCAACCCCTGCATCTCCTCCGCCCGCATCGCCATCTCCTCCATCCGCTTCCAATCGCTATCCGCCTTCCGCACACGCAGTCGCTGCTCTCTGACCTCCTGCTCTGCCTCTGCCAGTGCTTCCTGGGTTTTCTTGAGCGTGGCTTGGAGGGTGGGGACTTGTTGCGCTAGGGCTTCGAGGGAGGGGAGGCGTGCGTGCGCGGCTTTCCATTCTGAGATTTGGGTTATTGGTGTGGAGTGTGGGAGGTGTGGTGAGGAAGGGAAGGAATGGGGTTGGGAGCGCAGCCGGGGGTGAGGGGTTGCGGGTGAGTGAGGGCGTTTTTTGGGGTTGAGGGGTGGTTGTGGGTTCAGGGGTTGGAGTTTTGGGGGTGGTTGGAGGGTTGGGGGGATTGGGTTGATGTTGGCTTGTGAGGGTGCGTGGGCGATTGGGGGGTTTGAGATGTGAGGTTCATATCGTTGAAGGAGGGGGAGTGGGAGTGCTTCGCTGGTTTGTGGATGCGGGGAGGCTATGTTGTTTGGGACTAAGACTGCTGCGAGTGGTCCCGTTGTTGTATCGGCGAGGTATTGGTCGTGGATATACGGAATTGGCACTGCTGCTTCTGGTGCAGAGCATGTCTTGACGGCATCTTCACGTCGTTGCTTTGAATTCTCAGAGGCGTGAGTCTGAACGGTTGGCGTTCCTGGTGCGTCTGTCATGGGTGTATCATGTTGATCTCCGATCTGCGGCACGAGGTCTTCGCAGGATGGGACCATAGGCGAGTCTACTCTGCTGGGGGCGTCTGGTAGAGCATTCATTGCACGGTCGACTGCCCTCGACGAAGCTTGCTGGGATTTAGGTAGCGTGGATGTGTCCACGGCAGCCTGATCTGGCTTGGTCGGATCCATTTCGTGCTGAAGGTGAGGTCAAGATCTTCGAGTGTTTTGTGTTTGATAGTCTTGTACGACGATCAAGGAGGTTGTGAGAGATGGAATGTTCAAACACGCTGACTTGGAAAGACGTGTATGAAGGATATGAAGCTGAGACGACTCAAAGAAGCCGCTTGAGCAAGGTGTATGATGGAAGAAGTCAATTGCGTAGAATGAGGGGGTTTATATAAAGATAGTCGGAACAGAATAGTCACTTTGCCAAGGCTCGGAGCCAGGACCGATGGTTGTAGAAACATATCGAGCACAGGCAAGCCTCGGATGTACAACAATGTTGATCTGTTCGCTCTACACAATGTCACTCTGGGAGACAACAAAAGGACTCCAACACTGAGGCGGATTAGGTGATATGCTTTGACAGAAGAGCGCAGTATGCTTCGGAGTCCAAGTATGGCTTGCAAGTCAACCGCACACCGTCTACGTGAACCACAAATAAAAGGCAACTTTTGATATATAGCTCTATGTGATAGGATTCTATTGCCAATCAAGAAAGGAAAACGCCGAGAGGAAACAAAGAAAGGGATCCGAAAATCTATAATACGGTTCATCTAGACTTGAGAAAGAGAGAAAGAAGTGGTCCTTATCAAGTTTCCACCACAGCAGAATGACCTCACTCTCTTCCCGGCTCAAGTGAGTCAGGCAGAAGTGAGTCAGGCTCAAGTGAACCAGGCCCTTGTCCGGCATCGCCCCTTGTGTCACCATTGCTGTAGTGAACCGACTCAATCAGAAGTGACTGACATCGCGATAGGCGTTCTCGACGACGAGAGCTGCCCGTCAGTGTTACAGTGAATGCCCGTCAAAGGCGCCCCACCAAGACACGTCAAGTACGAATCTGCCGCGCTGAGATCATTCGACGACACGCTTAACGACGCACTCGAGACTCTGGAAGGCACGAATTAGCACCAGTACCCCAAACTCGCCATCTCAAGTAGACCGAAACTCACGCTTGTGACTCTGTCTGTGCTCCGATAACATCGATCCCAAACCTCGCTTCGCTGACAAAACTCCCTGGCGTAAATCTCCACGATAGCACCTCATCGGTGTTATCTGAGGTACAGTCGATCCAGCCGGTGGGGGGCTGCTTCTCGATGAAGCTAGCTGTGCAAGAACCTGATATGCTTTCTGACACGGAGTCGAGCTGATGTTCCACGGTGAACGTGACGGAGCTGTTGAAGCCGGTCCCTGGCGGCCAGGTAGCACCAGGCAGACCTGAGTTTGGGCCCATGAAGTGAGTTGAGAGTTGGCTAACGAACCATTGGTCTGCGACTGCGGTAGGGAGATTGAGGGAAAGAAAGGTGAGGGCTGAAAGAGTAGAGATAGTTGAGCGCATCTTGAATGTAGTATCGAGCAGCTAAGACTGAAAGTATCAAGTATTCGAAATGGAAATAGTCTGACTTGAGAATAGAGAAAGAACCCTATCAAGCAGACGTAGGCAGCATGTTATATGAGGGTCATATGCAACGCAGTAACGTGAAATAAGGCCAGCAAAGGAAACACCAAAATCGATAATGGCGAGACGTTGCAGCGCTGGCGGAGTGAATCAGCGTCAGCAAGAATCCTCTCGCCACAACCATGACCGCTCGATCCAATCCAACGGTAGTGGCAATATTTGACTGCCATTCTGTGTACGAATCGATGATTACAAAAAAATGCCTGCATCCCGAGACTGATACACTCACTATTGGCCAAGCAGGCTGTGCTCGATGAAACCATATGCTCTTTCTGTACGCCGCATAGCTTTCCAGTAATGTCCTACAATGCAAAATTCGATGCCTTCAGCATGCAGGGGAATCAGCCAATCCTAGGAGCCATGAAGCAAAGCCACCACGAGCCCCCAGTAGTGACAGCGCGGTGACTTCTTTCAAGTTGCGCAACGACGCTCGATTTCAGTCGCACCAAACCGGCGAGACCCGACTATCGTCCGCAGCTTGAGTAACATGACGTGAGGCTGAAGCTGAAGGCGAAGTAAGACTGCGAACAAGACGGTGGTTATATTGCCGGTGTTCCGCTCTGCTTGCATCAGCTAGACAAGGACGCGAGCGTGTATATGGTCTGAGCGTGGGTCATGGATGTGGGTCGTGTCATCTATGCAGCTTCATCTATGTCAAATAAGGGGCGACATGTTGCTTAGTGAGTGCTACCGAAGAGCAGAGGGTGAGTTCATCAATACAAGCGTCTACAATAGTCCGGAAGAGGAATTTTAAGATGGGTGGAGAGAGTTCTGGTATCGATCACGAAAATCTCGCGCGCTCACGTGATTGGTGCAGAGCACATTGGTGGACACTTACGTCATCACGGACTTGCCCCTCATTGCGTACCTAGGTACTCGGCGCGGGTATGCTGATCATCCCGCAATACGACGCCATATTCACGTCACAACACAGCATCCCTGATTTGAGCAAGCAATTCTTGCCATACGAAGGCTGCCACGGTACCTGTTCATCAAGAAAAGTCCACGGTACACAGTGCTACACGGCACCATTGAGATGCTTATGTTGTGATTCATCTATATTTGGGACTATTTTACATGCCCAGGGTATTCGATGGTTGTACGAAAACAGCTTTCTCCTAGTTCAAGGCTTGGAGAACGTTCTCGGCCTTGGTGACGGTGACGCTGGGAGCTGCGTCCTCAACGTAGATTTGCTTGACGATTGGGCCGTCGAGCACAGCAACATAGCGCTGGGAGCGTGGTCCTCCGAGCAGACCCGTGGCATCGAAGCTCATACCGATTTCCTTGGTGAACTACAGTGCTCAATTAGCTCTCGTGTCGGTGTCTCGGTCATGTACTGAAGGTCAGAACTTACGGCACCAGTATCGTCAGCAAGAAAGTGGACGGCTGGGGGCGCTTCAGCACCGCCGGTGAGCTTTTCCTTCCATGCTTGAGTCGTGAAGGCGTCGTTCACGGCAACTATGTAGATACCGGCGACACCCTTTTCTACGAATGCTTGTGCGTTCTCAATGTAGCCGGGGACTTGGGAGGAGCAGGGAGGGGTGAAGGCGCCAGGAACACCAACAATGATGTCTACTCAATAGTCAATAAAGGTCAAGATAGCCACTGTATGCATGGATACTGACTCTTTCCAGTGAGCTGGCTGATGACAACAGTTCCCTGCTCAGGGTTCTTCTCCTTGAGAGCAACGGTAGAAGAGATGGAGGCGCCAGTGGCAATGGCCTTGTGGCTACCACTCTTGATCTTGTCGATGAGTCCAGACATGATGTATAGTGTAGATTATTTCGAAGTTTAAAGTCGGAGAATTGATGTGTAAGGTTTGAGGAGCTCAATTGAGAGGGTAGCAGCTTTTTAAATAGTGAGACAGCTCCGTGGCAAGGGTGTAATGGTAATTATAGTCAACAACGCCCCACCTTGTCACAACAATTCCATTTTCTAATGCGGGGCGCGGCGCGGCCTTAAGGAAGAACCCTGACATCACAACATCTGGCTCGATCATGGCTTGATTAGACCAAGATTGATCTAGTCACCTGCAGAAGGTTGCAGGTTCAAAACCCAATCAATTGTGCTGCCCTGAACGCCAGCTTCCTGATAGACCATGTTAACCGATTCAGTGGGTAATGCGGGCCGGCGGCTGATAAGGTAGACAACAAACACGTCGCATTCCCTGTTGCAATGCATGATTCCAAATCATACTGACGTGGATGAATTGAGGGCGTTAGGCTATAACTCCCGAGAATACCAATAGTGCCAGTCCAGTCTATATCGTCAGAAAAGATCAGATACTGTGAAACCTAGCGACTGAAGACTCTTCTTGGGTATCTCTATAGTTCGACAAAACTGGCGGCGGACGGAGGATGAAAATCGACAGGTTGAAGAGCACAATACATGAACACTGTTACCCACAGTTCCTGGAAGAGACTTGATCAACATAATCAAAAGTTTGTATGATGTTCTGGTACTTGATAGTAGCCTGATATCGTCTCCTCGTCCTGTTTGCTTAACAATCAAAACAAAGCCTCCAGGTATCTCTACACGTTCAAAGAAGATGGCAAAGTCACTCATAAGCAACAAGAAGATGAACGCCATCGCCTTAAACACGACCCAAATAAACAGTCCCAACAAAGGATTATGATGCTGCTGCTGCTCTGACCCGAAGCGCAACCTGAGCAAGTTTCTGAAAGTTCAGCGTGTCAGCGTCCTTGGGCATGAATTCACCTGCAGCAATGCAATGCACGAGCATGCGAGGGTCGTAGTTGAGATTCGGCAGTAGCTTGGGTGTGATCAGGAAGTATTGGCTGGTGTTCTCCTCGCAAGAAACCTCGACAAGACGTTTGTGGACCATGCGCTCATTTCGAGGGTCCATGCCCTGGTTGATCTCGTCGACGATGCGGAAAGGAGAGCGAGCAAGAGATTGTAGAGAGAGCAAATAGAATATGGTGGAGACTGAACGTTCACCACCGGATTGGCGACGTGCATCTAGTGCACAAAGTGGTTCGTTGTCCCTTCAACGCAATCAGTGTCGCCTTCATGAGCTGAATTGATATTATCCAAACATACCTGAACCTCACCATGATCTGAATCGCCCACTTGTCGAAGTCATCGTCTTTGTGTACAAGGACTTCACCTGCGCAGCCGATGGCTTCAAAGTTCTTCGAAAATGCGCCGTTTATAAGTGATACAAGCTGGTCAAGACGGGGTTCCCATTGCTCCCGCGTTTCTTTGATCTCGTCTTCGAGCCTTTGGATCCGCTCTTGAGCTGTAGCCAGCTTCTCTTCCATAGCATCGATTTTTCTCTGCCGAGCTTCGTATTCCTCGATCGCGTTGGAATTAGTCGTGCGGATCAGTCTCATCATTGCAATTGTCGCCTCTATCGTATCCTCCAGTGATTTTGAATCCAATTTGTCTTGTGCGAAAGAATTGTGTAGTTCCTCTACCTCTTCGGACCGGCTGTTTGCTATACGCTTGCAATCCTCACCAATACTGATCGCTTGCGCCTTCAGGGTTTTGTGTTCATGGCTCAGCCGGTCCTTTTCTGCACGAGCGTGATTCAATCTTTCCGTAATCGCTTGGTTCGCTTCTTCCAATGAGACTACCTCGGATTCAGCTTCTATCAGCATCAGTTCAGCTTCAAGTAGCGACTGATACTGTGTCTGGAGGGCCTCGATGCTTTTCTGGAACTGGTCAGTGTTTCGTTTTAGATAAGCAGTTTCAAGAACCTCACCGCATGATCAATCGATAGCCTAGCCTTCTCGAGAATGAGATTATCTTGATCACGTCGAATGGCGTCCAAGCGTTGCTTGTCTTGCTCCGCTGTAGCTTCGAATTCTGCCTTTTGTTTTTCGTACATTTCTATACCGTGTCAATACATTCATTGCTTTCCCCAGGATAGTTGTTTTCTTACCTATATTGCTTGGTAGCACCCTGAATTGGGCCTGTTCTTGCTGTGCGTCATGCTTTTCCCGGTCAAGATCACTCTAACCCTGCTTAGAATCATACGTGCATAGCATTTACAACATCTCCACATACCTTGGTCTTCTCAAGATCAACCTTCGCTTTCCGGGCCACGTCAAGCTCAGTTCTCTTGTTTTTGTTTTCGTTAGATAACTCATTGAGCTCATCTTGCAGTTCATCTATCCTCTGTTTGAGAGGTCTTGCTGCACCTGCATCCACAGGAGCGTCACTCCACACAGAGGCAGGTCGTAAAGCTGTGGTGGCTACAGTATACTTGCCATATCTTTTGGACACGACATATTTGTCATTTTTGTCCGACCATCTCTGGATCTGGCTGTCCACAAGAAGATTGTATTGGGCTTGAGAAACCTCACCAAGCGTGACCGCGTGTCGATGAATGTTAGCCTGCTCGCAAAGCATTGACAAGACATCATCAGGACCTTCGAGGTAATCAACTATCCAACCATCCAGTCCGTACTGGGCGAGCTGGTCGTTTGGAATATTCTGCCAATGGTCCAGCTTCTTTCCTATCATATTGATTGCTATGTCGGAGAGCCTCAAACCTTCTCTTCCAACGAGACTCTTTTGAAGCATATTGTAGTCCCCTAGTGTCGTACATGTGAATGCTTTCAGAGTCCCTTCAGGTAGGGCCCCTTCGACAGCACTCGCGTATAGCGGATCTTTGACAGAACATTCTACGATTGGTGGCCCGTAGATAGGTCCTTCAAACTGTTGACGGTTTTCCTTGATCCAGTCCCAGGCCGTCGCAGCATCTTTCGATCTGCTTTGCAACTTCTTGGCCTGTTGGCCATGGGCCGTGCCCAGTTCCTCCAATTCTTTCTTTAGTCTATTTTGTTCGGACTTCCGTTGCTGAGCTTGAGATTGGATATGACTGAGGTTCGCCTGGATGTCTGCTGCCTGACTATCGAGCTCCCGTTTCTGCTTTTCCATTTCGCGTAGCTTTGCGTTGCATCCAGCAGAATCGTATTCCGGTGGGGCATTCTCTAGGCGCTGCCGAGCATCTGCTATCTTCATCGATCTATCTCGTGCCTTGTCCTTGTGAAGTTTGATCGATTTTTTCACCTTTGCCACCGTCGTGTCAAAACTGTCAATCTCTTCCTGGGTCTTCTTCAGAGTCTCCGTTCTCGACCGCACACTGCTGTCTATCTTTTTGACGGAACTTTGACGTTGATTAACAACTTGTTTGATCTGCTCTGCATACTTTTTCTTGTCGTTCGTTGACTGTAGCAGCGGATTTACATCCTTTTGCAATTGTGCAAATTGCGCTTCAGCATCCTTGAAGTTCCGCCTCAGTCTTTTGACCTCTTCTACCGCCTCACCGTACTGGACGATGGGCCGATACTGCTCTAGTGCGTCAATCTTGACTTTATACTGGTTCCGCTGTATCAACAAATCCACGTCTTGTTTCGCAGCGCTTTGTTTTTTCTTCAGGTCTGCCAGTCTTTCGAGTTCACCTTCCTCGGACATTTGATCAGATTTCCGCTTCTTATATAGCTCCTTCAGCTGTGTATACCACTCCCTCATCTCCAGTGGCGCAACTGCACGTTGTGTCTCCTCCAGAAGAGCTGTGGGCGTCATAGCGGAAAATGAGGAAACACGGTCCTGAGGCAGGAATTGGCACAGATTGTCGATTTGTATGGAAAGAGACTGACACAGCTTTGAGACTGCAGCATTAGTCGCGGGGGATCCATTGATAGAAAAAGTAACTTTGCTCGGTTTGATCAGGCATCGGACCAAATGATTCCTGCTCTTCTCATGGCCTCCGGCCAACTCAATCTCAATTTCCGCCGAGTCTTTTCCATAATGTATATGGTCCGATAGTTGGTCCGCGCGTCCGAGAATCTATAAGCTGTTAGTGGAATTTATAATCATAGAAGAGATGTGCTGACCGAAGGTTTTGAGCCCAAGCAAATACATATTGCGGAAACGATCGAGCTCTTGCCGCTTCCGTTTGGCGCAATTATGAAGTTCAGACTAGGGCCAAAGCGAATCTCCGCAGCAGTATACGCCATGAAGTTTCTCAGCTTCAGGCGCACTATCGAGCCAGCCTGAAACTTAGAAGCAGACCCATGCGTAAGAACGCTCTCGTTATTGAGGCTGAGTTCTTGTCCAGGGCTTGATGGGCTTGCTGGGCTCTGAGTATTCTAAGTCAGCTATAATACTAAGGCTATTTTGACTGGACTTGTCAGTCTACGAGTGGGATTCCTACATGGGACACGCCATTGTTCAGTCGCCGCCTCTTATTAGCAGATGAGCCAGGAGTTTGGTTCTGAGATGGCACTGTGACATCCGAATCTTCGTCATCTGACGAAATTGACCTCCGTGCAGGAGTCATTACTCTACCTGGCATGACTTCTTGTCTTCATGAAGTGAAGCTGCTCAACGCGCGGTGGAACGCGTCTGGGTTCTTGCTTTGCGCTATACGGTTTAGCGCGAGCAATATCACGTGATTACGCGGCACTCAGGATGGATCGAACGCGATGTCTTGTTTCTGGACTGAACACTCGTTGGTCTGTATTGTTCGCGACTATATTTTCTAGATACGCTAATTTCACAATATTCTACAAGCGCTATGATGCGAATCTAAAGGCGATGCCGTGATGCCTACTATGATTTCTCTTTGGGAGCGATCATCAGCTCTGGTCTAACGTATTTGTCGAAGTCCTCCTCGCTCAGGGCCTTCAGTTCCATGGCGCTCTCCTTCAGCGTTAACCCTTTCTTGTGAGCGTTCTTTGCGACCTTGGAGGCCATGTCATAGCCAATGACGGGATTCAAGCAGGTCACGAGCATGAGACTATCCGGAAATTAGCATACGTAAAGGGTGATGGTATTCCTGTTTGGCTTCACTTACCTTTCCTTGAGAATAGCCTTGATCCTGGTCTCGTTGGCCTCCAAGCCCACGACGAGGTTTTCTTCAAAACTCCTCATACTGTCAGTCAAAATCCGTGAACTATGGAGTAAATTATGAATCATGACGGGCTTGAAGACGTTCAGTTCAAAGTTGCCCTGTGAGCCCGCAAAAGTTGTTGCGGCATTGTTACCGAACACTTGCGTGCACACCATGGTCAGCGACTCGCACTGAGTCGGATTGACCTTCCCTGGCATGATTGAAGATCCAGGTTCATTCTCTGGAAGATTGAGCTCACCAAGACCGCAGCGTGGGCCAGAGCCAAGGAAGCGGATATCTTGAGCAATCTTGAAGAGCGAGGTGGCAACAGTGTTCAGTTGTCCATGGGCTTCGACAATAGCATCGTGTGCAGCGAGAGCTTCAAATTTGTTTGGCGCAGTGATGAACTCGTGGCCGGTCATTTTGGTCACTTCTTCCGCTATCCCTTCAGCAAATCCCTTGAACGTGTTGATACCGGTCCCGACTGCAGTCCCGCCTTGGGCCAACATTCGTAGGCGCGGGAGAGCCGACTTCACTCGCTCCATGCCAAAGTCGAGCTGGGTAACATAACCAGAAAATTCCTGTCCAAGCGTCAAAGGAGTAGCATCTTGTAGATGAGTTCTCCCAATCTTTATTATCTTCTCGAACTGCTTGCTCTTCTTGTCGAGAGCATCGCGAAGGCTCTTCATTGCTGGCAGGAGCTGCTCTTCGAACTCAAGAACCGCGGCAATATGCATGACCGTGGGAAAGGTGTCATTCGAAGAAGCTGACATGTTGACATGGTCATTAGGGTGTACTGGCTTCTTGGATCCCATGGTGCCACCAAGTATTTCGATAGCTCGGTTCGAGATAACCTCGTTCGCATTCATGTTTGACTGGGTGCCGGATCCAGTCTGCCAGACGACTAAGGGGAAGTGCTCAATAAGTTTCAAGGAAGCAACTTCCTCGGCAGCCTGTTGAATGGCTTGACCGATCTTGGGGTCTGCTTATAGTTAGCATGTCCCGTCACATACGTCCGAGCAGCTCATACCTAAGCCGAACTTCAAGTTTACAGTCGCCGCGGCGCCCTTGAGGATACCAAAAGCTCGGATCAGCGGAGGCGGCATGCGGTCTTGTGGCTGATTGATCTTGAAGTTCCCCAATGATCTCTCCGTTTGGGCACCCCAGTATTTATCAGATTCAACTTGAATCTCGCCAAAGGCATCGGATTCAGCTCTTGTAGATGCGCTCATGTTGGAAGTTGCAGAGAAGGCGCGGGTTTGTGATACGAGAATGGACCGTGTGATTGCACGAGGAGTGATGAGGGAGTTCCTAGCAGTAAGCTTTGAGGATGCTCCCCGAGCTATATACCTAGAAGCGGGGGTAATTGAGCTTGCGACATAGGCGAGGGAGCTGCCGCCGCGACAGGCGCGCGCTGTTGGGACCACTGAGCGAAGCATGTGAGGTTTTGGATTGCCGAACGAGATCAATTGGGTTTTAGATATTGCTGAAAGAGACCAGTGTCGATGCTGTGAGGTGGAAAAAAAGATCAAAACTGAAGTTATCGGGAGAAGTCGGCCGAATGTTCTGCGCAATTTCACGGCGGAAAGCTCCGCCCCGGTCGGACCCGCTCCCGTCCCCGGCAAGGCTACCCGGCACCCGGCTGTACTGCTTTCAAAGTTGTCTTTTCATGTACACACATCTGCAAGTGTGTCTATGGGAAAATCTTAGTTTACGCAGCCGATGTATTATCAAAGGGTATGTAGAGCCACGCCATTCCTGGAAGTTTGGACCTTTTTTATCGCAATGTTTTGTATGATCATTGTCTGAGCCTACACATGTGGTCTATCGAGATCTGACTCACTATGGTGCATATCTGAATCCTTCAATACCTTCAAGAGCTGGCCCTTTACCTTCATCTGCGAGTCGGTTCTGTCTCTTGAGATATAGTGACATACAGACTGTTACAAGAGTATAGAACAGCTGCATAGCAATTGTAGCCCACATCCCTGGAAGGTATTGCTGAGTTTGATCAGCAGTTGTATCAACGTATTGCAAACCATGATGAGACTCACAGGCGCATCTTGAGTTCGGAAAATTGTAGAGCCTGTGATTCCACCAGCCGCTCCGATCGAAATCATTGCGGCAGCAATCACCCCTTTCCTTTCGATTTTGGCCGTCTGGCTTTGTCCGTAGGAGAGCGTTCCGGGGACGTTGGCTTGAGTACCGAAAGTTGCAAGATACAATCCAAGATAACGCACACCAGGAGGCTTTGCATATAAAATCACGAGCAAGCCAGCGACTGCTGAGAGCGATTGGAAGCACAGCACTGTCCATCTGGTACGGTACTTGTCGGACACCCATGCCATAGCCATCGACATTATGATGGCAAAGACGTAGCATGGGCTACTCAGAATCTGAGCAAGAGCATAACTGAAAACTTCAGTACGATCTCCCTTGGAGAATTTCAAGAATGACAGACCTGAAACCCATTCCCTCCCGAAGAATGATCGGCTGGAAATAAGAAAGTGAGTAGACACTAGATGCTGCCACGAAGTATTGCATTGAGCTGCGAGTCTTGTTAGTTCATGGTAACTCCAGAATAGCACAGACTTTAGGTGAGACATACTACACGGCTAATTTCCAGTCCCATAACATTCTCATTGACTCTTTGAACGTGGGATGTACGAACTGCCTGGCCTCTTTGTCGATCTGCATCCTGCAAATAGCGATGTTTCGTTGCCGGGGAGTCAACCACTTCGCCTTCTCTGGAACTAAGAAGTATAAGTAAAAGCGTCTCCACATCTTTGGCCTTGGGTATCTTACACTCTACAAGAAAGAACGGAGATATTATACCGGCAACGATCGTCGCGATGCCTTCGATAATGAAGATCCAGCGCCACCCCTGGCGATACGTACCATTTCCGACTCGGATCAAAGAAAGTGCATATGCAAGAATAGGTCCAAATCCGGAGGCTAAGAGAGCTGCCATATAGAATAGCGAGACCCGCTTTGCCGTCTCATACTGTCTGTACCAGGATCCAATGATGAATACGGCTCCAGGGAAAAGACCCGCTTCGAACATCCCCAGCAGCGCTCGGCATACAGTCAGAGACACCCAGCTATGGACGAAGCCCATCCCGAGTACGCAAGCGCCCCATGATATTATCAAGAAGCTTAGCCAAAGTCTCGCCCCCAAGCGTCGAATTACCATGTTTGAGGGAAGCTCGAAGAGGGCATAGCCTGCGTTGTTTCAGTCAAGGCTGAACACTGTCCCATTTGGGGTGCTCACCGATGAAAAATACTAGTAGTGCTATGTTGTATCTTGCGCTAAGCGATGCATCAGTAATGCTCCTCGTCCACTGTGAAAAAATCATCACACTCACCCAACATTTAACGCTACATCGCTACTCAGACCAGCGATATACGCCGCTGAGATGTTCGTTCTGTCTAGCAGCGACAGTCCGAACACAACACACAGCATAGGAAAGACGCGCCAGTCTAACTTCTTCCTAACATCAAGCTATCAGATATCAGGCTCCTATATGTGAATCATTACTTACACCAAGGCCTTCTCCTCCTCGGCAGTCCATGTTTGTGCTTTGTCCGCCACTCCATGCTCATGCTCCTGCTCAGACACCTTCTCGGAACTAATGGGACTTATCCTCTCGACATGATAAGTCTCGGTTTTGGTGTCGGCCATGTTGGAATGGACTCAAACCCAGTCACGCTAGAGCTAGGTTGATAGAGCAGCGTGTCTCAGAATAAAATCCAAACACGAACATACATTCCCGGGCCTCGCACCTCATATACATAAAACATCCCCACCCGCATCCCATCTCTCCCACTCGTTATTCCCGCCTGCCACTCCTCGAATCGCATGGCCAAGCCCATCCCCAGACCGCCACATTTCTTGGCCTCTTCAAAGTCCCAGCACAAGCCCATCAAGAAACCAGGAAAAAACATCCACGCCGCCCAACAAGCTACCAACGCATCTATTGGGACGTTTCCCGTGCCATGAGGTTTGCACTCGCGTGCGCATGAGTCTGGCCCGCTTCTTGGAGCTGGATGCCAAGTTCTTGTGCCGGACAAAACGCGGGGAACGTCGCGGGGTTGATTATTACCGGATCGTAGGATTCACTGTTTCCTAAGGCAGAAGTTTTTGTTGGAGTGAGGAGTTTTTGCGCGGTATCTTCTATGTGTGTCCTGGTGGGAAATGGTGCTTTTCGTGAATTGTCGTCTGTTGTTTATTAACGTTTCAGACTTAGCACTGTTAGCAGGACGGACGAATGTTTCTGCTCGAAGACAACAACGTCTTCATACGAAGTGGCTTTGCTAGCATCGATTGTGTCGTACTTTTTATCTTTTTGCTTCATCATGAGTGGAATGTGAGTATATTTATGGGACAAGAGGCCTAGGCAGGAATCGTGGTAATCGTCTTGGATCCCCTGTAAGGAATGTAGTACAGCTGCTACGACAGTTATGATTCGGTGTCGTCAACAGACACTAGCCAGGTCGACTTCACATAACCTGACACTTGTAACCCAGATCATAGAAGGATTGAAAGAGAGAATGCCGATTCTGGTAGACTGACGTCAACGAGAAAGCCCTTTCCAGACAGGAGTGGATATAGGAGAGATACTTCAGATCAGGTCCAGATTTTCTTGTGTTAGTGTCTACGCTCTGAATCACAATTTGAATGCACAAGAGACAAGAAGCATGGAGAGTACTGCTCTACTGTGTTTTTCAAGATTACTTCTCCGGCAATCTATTTTCGGAGTTTGTAACCTCCAGTCGGTCTTGTTTCGAGTCGGACATTCCATTCTCTCTGATCCTATCCTTCCACTGTCTTCTGCCAGTGTCTCCCTTTTCTCTGTATGGCTTGTAGCCCGAAAAATTCCAACCTCGATAGATCTGTTCATCCTCGTGTAGCAATACGACAAGTCAGACGTTAGACGAAGGGATCTCGACAGGCGTAGATGAAGCAGATACACGAGAGACCCAACAGCACATCATGAGAAGCAGGATCATACCATAAGGATACAAGAACCTCAACCGCGTGCTCCAGTCTCAGCAAGTACGCCATCAGCAACACCATCCAGCAATCCCACACAGAACCTCCACAAACAAACCAACTCACACCTTCCGAACCTCCCTAACCCTCTCCACACCCCCCTTCTCCCCCAAATCCACATGATGCGCATCCTCAGCCCCCACCAGATCCGCCCCCTTCTCCACATGATTCTGCCCGCCAAACAGCCCATCCATCTCCTCCAAACTCACCTTCTTCGTCTCGGGGATCCACAGCCACACAAACACCGCCAACAGCACATTCACCGCCATAAACATGTAAAACGCGTAGAACCCACAGTTCTCCAGGAAAGTCGGGAAGAACTGCTGCACGATGCTGTTGACCACGTTCTGCATCTGGCTCGCCATCCCGACGGCCTGGGCGCGCACATTCATGCTGAAGATCTCCGATGTCCAGATCCATGTCGTCGCGCCCCAGGATGGCTTGTAGAAGAAGGCGAAGAGGAAGAGCAGGAAGACGATGCTGATGCCTACGGGCTGCGACTTGACCCCGGCGCCGTAGCTGGGCGTTTGCGTCTCGACAGTCGCGACGATCAGCATGCACACCGCCATTCCGACTGCGCCCGTGATGAACAGAAACTTGCGCCCGAACCGATCCACCGTCCACGTCGCATTCAGCGTGAAGATGATCCCAAACGTCGCGTTCAGCGCGTTAATCAGGCTGATCGTGTCGTCCGAGTTGAACACCTTCTGGTACACCTTCGTCGAGTACGTGTTCAGCGTGCCCTGGCCCGTAATCTGCTGGCCGGCATTGAGCACAAAGGCAAGGAACAACCTGTACCTCACGCTGCGGTCCTTCCAGAGCGCCGAGTACGAGCTCGAGATGGCCTCCTTTTCAAACTCGATGGCCTCGCGGATGACGAGGATTTCGTCCTCGACTTCTTGCTCTGTGTTGCGCACGCGGTGCAGCGAGGCGCGCGCGGCGTCGATGCGGTTGCCGTGCTGGATGTACCAGCGAGGCGTCTCCGGGATGAAGAAGACCTGGGCGAGGATCAGGACGGGCACGAGGATTTGGAAGATGACGACCATTTTCCAGTCCCATTCGCCGAGGGCGACGACGTGCTTGGAACAGGCGTATTTGACCCAGTAGCTTTGGGATGTGTTAGCTTGAGGAAACAAGATGAGAGAAGGGGGGATAGGTGGATAGTGGAAAGGAGACGTACGCGATGAACGACCCGACGCTGTAGAACATTTGCCAGAAACTCATGATCTTGCCACGGATCTCAGGGGGCGATAGCTCTCCGATGTAGATGGGTCCAGCAGCTAAATTCCACATCAGCGCCCACTACAGCCCGTGCGGAACTGATGTACCTACTTAGAGCGATACCCTGAGCGAGACCAATAACCACACGCCCAGCAATAAAACAGCCAATATTCCCTCTCGGACTGAACGTCTGGATGAACGTGGCCACGATGGTGAAGAACGCCCCAATCGCCATGCCCCATCGCCGACCAAGCTTGTCCGCAATAGGACCGCCCATGAAGAAGCCAGAGATGATGGCACCGACATTGTAGGCCGTGTTGACCGCACCAACCATCTGAGTGTCCTTCGGGGTAATGTTGAAATAGGCAAACCAGTGCTTCGAGCCCTGCACGGCGTTGTACACCGAAGCGTCATAGCCGTAGAGGACCATACATGATGCCGCCACGAGGGAAATGTACCTGCCAGCCACACATCATCAGCAACGTAGAATTCGAGCACTCCCAAGACACACTCACCAGTTGTACACTCTCTTGCCTCCGACCGCCATATTGACGATATTGCTGCTCCCGTATCAGAAGAAGCTTTTGCCCTGGGAGGAAGAAGTAGTAGTAGAAGATGTTGCAATCCACAGAGTCTGCGATCCCGGATAAAACCATACAAAGAAACGATATATATAAATGCTACACGGCCTACATGGTTCAGGTTTCTCCGTCTGGCATACATACACCAACATCCCTCCCATGCACTATTCCCCAGTCCCCGGATGCTAAGCTCTGATAAACGAGTATGGACTGGGCTCTGGACAAGCCACAATATGGAGTGTAGCCCTATGGGTACCTTTAAGGAGGACCCCGCAACCGCATATGGTTGGTTGGTGCTTGAGACTTTAAACAAGGCATCGGAGGCCCCGCAGATCGCCTTAAATGTAAGCCTTGCTGCTAAGGATCTGAGTGGACGGACCCTTGTTTCCTTCATAATCCACCAACCAGCTAACATCGTTTCGAGGACGCAACACTACGAGAAGTAGATTTGATTCCATCAAGAGATGTGCCATGGGACAGGTAAGCTATGGGGCGTTCCGAGTGTGGATTGATCTTCGATCACGCACGGCTTGCTGGACAGTACTTCGACGGGGATATACGGGGTCAGTTGAGCAGAAAATGAATGAGCTGAAGCTCCTCGCAGAGAATGGTTTTGGTAACATTCATCCAAATTTTATTCTGTTGTTACATCATAGAGAGAGCGGTCTGCGCCTACACATTGCGATCAGAGCGACTCCCATTCGTCATAGAGTAGTCTCACTCCTTTTAGTCAAAGTTGAAAGCCTTGCTGTACGCCTTCTTCTCCTTCTCTCGTCTCTCCTTGACCTTCTTCTTCAGGCTCGCTAGTTCATTTGTGATGTTTGAGTCGCCTGGAACGTGCTTCAACGCCTGTTCGAGATCCTTGATAGCTTCTTCCTCATCCTTCTTCGCAGCCCGTGCAAGTGCGCGTCGGTACAGGGCTTTACCCTTGTCTTGCTCACTCACGCCCTTCTGTCCTAAGGCTTTGGTAGCAGAGTCCAGAGCTGCATCATTCTGCTTCAGCTTGAGCTGCAACAGCGCACTATTCGAGTGTAGCGAGAAGCGTAAGGCAGATAGTTGTCCCTCGAGCTCTTTGGGATCGCTCTCGAGCGGTGTCGGGTACTCATTAAGATATCGCAGGCCCTTCTGATATTTGTCCACACCAAGACTGATATCTCCAGCCTTGAACGCCTTATTTCCCATGTCCTTCAGTTCTGTTGCGATGTTGACAATGTCGGTGCCCTTCCAGTCGCCGCTCTGCTGGTCTTCCGGAAAGTCCTCATACGGATCGCCAGTGGCATCGGCTTTTTTCTCCGTGGCCGCCTCGTAGTCCGCACCTTTGAGCTCCCCACAATCCACGATCGTAGCCTGCTTGCTTGGCTTATCACCAGATGGGCACGGTAGGTTCTCAATCGTGCGGACGATGGACTTGCCATTGATGACCTCTCCGAACACGACATGCTTGTTATCGAGATGAGGGGTGGGAACAGTGGTGACGAAGAATTGAGAGCCGTTGGTGCCTATATGAGCCATTAGGTCAGAAGCTGGTCGACATGCAAAGCGCACAGCGACTCACCTGGGCCCGCATTGGCCATGGAGAGCAGGAATGGCCTTTCATGCTTGCGCTCGAAGTTCTCATCCTCGAATTTTTCACCGTAGATCGATTCTCCACCTGTACCGTCACCCTTTGTAAAGTCTCCTCCTTGGATCATAAAGCCCTTTATGACGCGATGGAAGAACGATCCCTTATAGGACAGAGCCCTGCCGGACTTGCCCTCACCCTTCTCACCCGTACATAGCGCCCTGAAGTTCTCGGCGGTCTTAGGAACGACTGCATCAATGGGTCAGTTGCCGGTGCGCAACGACTGGCGTATTCATCTTCATCTTACTGTCATCGTACTAGAGAAACGTGAGCCAGAGGAACCGCAGAGATGGCCAAGGAGTTGTGAGTAGACTTACGAGCTCAAAGGCAACTCTTCCGAGCCGAGATCCGTCGATCTCGATATCAAAGTAGACTCTGCTTCGTTCTAAGACGCGAAGTGAGCACAGTGTATTGATACTCAAGTGGGGTAGCGGGGAAGCAAGCTCAGTTACCTTTCGAGCTCGACGCCATGTTCGAATTGTTATGCGGGTTGATTGTCTTGTGTTCTATTCTGGACAGAGGAAATCTCGAGTCAGGCAGTGTGTTGAAGAATGGAGTTATGTTAGAGTAGGCGAAGCTGTGCAAGGCTTAAGATGCAGACGCAGATCTGGTGGAATGTTCGAGCACCTGCACAAGCTTGAACGTGGTGCCCGTGCGCAGCTTTCCCGTTTCTATATTCGGCATTAATCACTTATAGTTGTAAGCATTCGGGAACTCAGGAGATCCTACAAAAACGAAGTAAATTTCTGCTGTATAGCTATGTGATTGGAACATTGACGCCCGCTAGCCACCGCCTCGCTGGCAGAAATGCAAGTATGTAAACTGCCTGATCGATAATCGGGCCGCTTTTGACTCGCTGAAAAGCTCAACAAGCTAGGAATGAAAGCAAGAAGTAAAATGCCATGACCTTGTACTTATATCTCATCAAAATGCCTCCTCTTTTATCAAATCAGTAAGACGGACTCGGAATCGTAGAGACTCGAGCCGCTGAAGAAACGTAAACCGAAAAACTCCGCCCAAGTTGCCGCTGTCCAAAGCCATACACGTGCCGGGTATCATTCGTCAAATGCTTTCGTCGTGTACACGCTGTAATCAGTCATGCTCCTCTTCACTCGTTATTGTTCATTTCTTCTTCCTGCTAAAGCTAGGAACGATGTTTTTGAAACCAGACTTCTCCTTATCTCCTTTGGCCTTGTCTTTCTCCGGCGCCTGACTGCTACTGCTGAACTTCGGTAGAGCTGTAGCATACTCATCATCACTATCACCAAGACTAGGGTCGACATGGCTTCGTCCGATTGTACCTCTGGACATTGACTCTTCCCAGCCGTGAGAGGAGCCCGGTGGCGTATCACCAGCAGCAGAAGCGGACGCAGATGCAGCACCGCTACTCGGTGCGTAACGTGAAGATAGTGCTTTCGAAGATATGATCGAAGATGGTTTGGCGCCCGATCCTGAAAAGGTACGAGGCTTGGCATGCTTCATTGTTACAGGAGTTGACGTGGGCGATGTCTCGTCGTCATCTATTTGCGATTGGGCGGCCATAACTTCGCGACGACCAGGCCTCCTGCTAAGATCAAGAACAGCGCTGGTCTCTAGTTGTTCGACGAGCTCCTCCCACTGAACGCTTAATGAGCTGCTGGGACGCTCTGCACGCTCTGCGCCAGCCAGACAATCTTTTGTCCTCTGCTTCAACGATTGACATTGTGCATGGAACTTGGCCAAGTCTCCGTCTCCTTCCTGTATGTGATGTGCTGTGTTTGCGTGCTCAAGCCATAGTGTAACGAGACCCGCAAAGTTTCGCGCGTGGTCAATAAGATATGGTAGAGATGGAAATCCCTCTCTCGATGTGGGCGGGAGTCGCTGCAAAATTGCAATAGGGGTGCTGTATGATGGGGGGATCGGTGGGCCGTTACCGGATCCCGATGGAACCGAGCATACGGTGTCGAGGAAAGTCCTGAATTCCTGTCGGTGGGCGGTCAGGAAGCTGTTCATGGGCTCCATCCAGTGTTCTTTCGAACCAAAAGTTGACATGTTGGCGAGGCCCTGTAACGATTTTGCAATTAGCGTATAGGTGCGACGAGCTCGCATCTTCGGCTTGTCTGTCCTGGGATTAGCACATGCAACAAATATATCTGCAATCACATCATGCTTACCTTTGAGCAATCCAAAGAGATTGGGATTCAGGACGGCGGGACAAAAGAACCGCAGAAAGAGAAATCCAGATACACTACTGTATGCAACAGTCCTAAGAAAGTCCCCAAAGCGATCTTCAGCGCAACCCCGAATATGGCGGAAGATGATTCGGAGTTCTTGCGGACAACGATTTGCAGAGTTGAATATGGCCTTCCAGACTTCCTCTGTCCAACTGATAAGCTTCCGCCAGTTCTTGTCCAAATCGTGAGATGAGAGAACTTTGTTCGGATCGACTTCGCAGTCCGGATCTTTCTCCAGAATTTCGTTCATCTTGTCTGAGAGCGTTTCCTCCAAGTACTCCTTTCCTAGACGCCTCATGTGTAGATCAAGGGACTTTGTCAGAAGAGTATTGCCTCGGAATAGGAGGTTAGCTTCGAGCTTCGCGTTATTGCCCATATCGCGGACAAGAAGCTCACGATCACTATTCAATGCAACAGATTCACTTGAATCAGTCGAGCCCATTCGGCGGCTGAATCGGAGTCTGCTGGCTGGAGTTTCCTTTTGTGTGCCATCAATTTCCTCCTCGACCAAGGCCATGATCCAATCCCCAGCTTGTCCGGAGACTTGGAATATGTTCAAGAGGTAGTCTGATAGTCGCTTCAGTTCGTTTGGAATCATCTGAGCTAGCTGGAGAGTTAGGCCGTTCGAAAATTTGTGCAGTAGTTCTGACATTGGCTGGTAATCCCGGGCCATTAGGATGACGCTATCATCTGTGGAGACCTTGAGCATCACTTCTCCGACTGGATTGGCGTACATGTTGTTCAGCTGCCACCATTTATCGATCGGCTTATTGCTCTCAAGATCATCAAGATAAATATCAACTTTTCCGACAGTCTGGTCAAAAGATAGTGTGTTGTAAATGCCAAAAGATTCTGTCGAGGTGAGCGCATCCTCTGCCGCCTTTCGTGCAACTTCTTTGCGCGACGGCTCAATAGGTCCAGCTCCAGCAGGCCGTCGCTTGAGGACTATAGTGCAGCTAGACATGACCGCTGGCAAATCGGTAAACTCAAAATCCTCGCCCCAGAATGGATGACTTGATTCGGCAATTACTGTGGATCTCGCGCGGATTTCGTTGTCAAGGAGAACCTCAATGTAATAGCCTCCTTGGAGGACCGCGCCATTCTGCCCTTTGGTACTAGGTACGGCAGGCGTAGAGGAAGTGAGCTTTGCCTCCATGATTCGCATCGAGAGTGAACGCTCCATCCTGAACATATCTACCGTCGAAGAAGAGAGACCAGGAGAGGGCATGTCGCCGTTAGGACTCTGCTTTGGACCATATAATTGAGGTATCGTGAAGGCTCGAAGGAGAACGATCCAGACTTCGTAGAGTACACGTGATTCAAGGGACAAAACAACCGGTCGAAGCAGTGATAAAGAGTTTGCCGCCGATGTATACTGTGGATATATTGCAATGCAGAACTCATTATCCAAGACGGAAGGATTCAAACGTTGAATGGCGCTGCGTGAAAGATGCGATAGCTGAACCACGGAGACTAATGTCACGTCTGTGTCGGCGTATAACTTGAGCTCCCCATTCTCTCGCAAGGTGCACGATACCTTACGCCATTTCCGCGCTCCTTGACTTTGCATCCTAGTATTACCTGGCCGGCTGGACTTTGGCGTTTCAGGCCTTGTTGTGCTGCTGCTGCTACTGGAGCTGGAAGTATCCCAGTAAATCATTTTGCCGACTTTGATGATAGGGGCTTCTTTCAAAAGGGAGACCTCAGAGTGTCTACGACTGTCTACAAGACGTCGTTCAGTTGCGAGTGCGGCCTGTGGCTTCGCCATTCGGTTGAGAATGCCCTTCGGCCGTAGAGGTTGCCAGCAGAGCAATGCTGCGAACCAGGAATCGTAGGCATCCTGAGTAGGGGGTCGTAAATGCACCTCGAGGCTCGAGTTGTGCAGTGCAACCTCAATGTAGGATGTGACACTCTCGGCGTCGTAGCCACTCCGTACTTTACAGCCTCGGAGGTCCGGAATGAGGGTCCTGTGGTACGAGGATGATTCTCCACGGGGCTCAAATACTAAGCTTCCTGATTCGTCATTAATATAACAATAAGACATCGACCAGTTGCTTGAGGCGCCTCGTCTGAAAGCAAGCATTCCCTGCATCTTTCCGGACGAAGTCTTCATCAATCTCAGAATCTTGCGAGTGTCAGAAGTTGTCGTTGGAGCAGCCCATGAGTCTGGGTGGGTAGTGCTGGAGCTGTGCGGTAACAGCATTGGTTGCTGCGGCGGAAATTTAATCAGGCGGTTTCGGTTTGCATTAGTTGACCGATGACCAGTATGATACATAGAGGAGGAAGCCGTAGCTGGGTCGTCGATGGAAGGATGGCCAATCGACGTTATAATGTCGTCGGCACTTCCTTGATAGGATCCGGAGGCAGCAGCATGCACAGATCCAACACGGTGCCTGCTAGTGACAAAAAGATTGGACGAAGAAACGTCTCTGGCGGTCCTTTCTTCCATGGTACGAGTCCTAGGTCTCAACTGAGATTCTTTTGCACCGCGTAGGCTTACGTCTCCTTCATTAGCATTTCCACGTGCACCATACGCTCGAGGAGTCGTATTTCTTGGACTTTCTTGGTTTGAACCGGACCTTGGTGATATGGGTGGGGAGTTGACCATAGATCCGTCTCGAGAATAAATCGATCGCTCCCCTAGCTCGGGTTCAGGCGTCACTGCTCGTATGGTAGGCGCAACATGGGATCGAGATGGAAGAACTCGACCCTCTGGTAGGGATGCCTGTGTTGTGTACGCCTCCGATACATTCTTTCGTCGGCTGGCCTGCCTGCTTTGGTCCATGCTGACCGAACCCCCGCAATGGTGCGAAGAGTCGTTGGATCCAGATCTTTTGTCAGGTTCCTGCCAACTGCGCAGCACCGCAAGTTAGGCAAACGTCTTTTCTAATTTATAGCCAGCCAAGTCGACTGCGACGTCGTGCCAGTATTGAATCCTGGCTCGTCCACAGTTGTAACTAACTGCCCCACGTTGCTGGAAATGGCGAGGCCAGATACGGCGTCCAGTCACTCGACCACGACGCAACGCGCTTCGCAGAGTTATCTCAATAGCACCCTTCAGAATATCCTACGACTGGGCGATGCAGTAGGGTCCTCTCATGCGCATGAGGATCGAAAGGCGACGTCGTGGGGCTCTTGGCGGGTAGCGGTGCAAACGACTGCTCGTCAGAAGGAACGGTGAGCAACGAATGGTGGAAGCATGTCGCACGTAGGACACTAGAGGGCGATTGAAGCGCGCAGAGAATGAGGCAGTACGGAGCGAGGATGATAACGGAGGAGGCCTGAAAAATGAAGGGTTTGATGTTTCGCGGCGACCTGGAATGAAGTTGGGTGAGGAACAGACAGTAGCTGCAGCCAATCCCGAGTCATGGGCAGCGGGAACGTGCTCCAATCCACCACCTCAGTCGGGTTCTCTCCTACACGGAACAGTCAAGACGACAAAAAGGCCAAAAGAGAGATATAGAGAGAGAGATTGGGCCAGTTGAGCAGTGCACAAACTGCAGCAATAATGTTGTCGGAGGAACTGCAACAAGTGTTATCATTGGGCTTGGTACCTATACCTAGTAGGTTAAAGCATTTCCCCAGATCAAACACATCCGTTATTAATTTAACCCCAAGCTTCGGGTCCGGCCTGCTAACGCCCCTCGCACGAGGGCGGTGGTTAATTAGTTCCTTTGTTCAATGTTATTAGAGGATGTTGCGGTAGATTGCACGAAGCACAGGACGTAGTCATGTCATGCAGTTCTCTGTTAGCTCTGATAAAGAGTCTGCTGCCATCTAGAACTGCCAGATCAGATGTCAAATGCTTGAGGATCGTCAGTTGTCAAGCCGATGCTGCTCGCTAACCGAATGAGCCGGCGAGCCAGCTGTATGCATGATGCGTCCCAATTGCATTAGTCCAAAAGTCTATATATATAGATTATTAGGGGGTCTGTGTCGAACAGCAACAGTTACATGCAGAGGCATGCGAACCAATGGAATTCATCTGTATAGAATACCACAGGTAGTGTAACCCTGGCATATCGCATACCCAAAATGGGCTCAGGGCTTCTGCGCCGAGCACCGGGTGTTGTTCATCAATAAAAGTCTGCACGCACCGCTGTTTCGGCGAGCACGTTTCAGAAAATAGGAGACAGGTCAAGTAAGTAAGCCAGTGCTGAAGCAAAGATAAGGTATCATTCGTGTTCCTGCGTAGACTCGCCAATCTCCATAACGTGATATAGTAAGCAATAATAAAAAAACCTCAACTGCGTCGACTCGGGGACTCCGTCCGTCGTCATATCCAACAGCGAGCAGCCCAAATTGTAACAGGATAAGTAAAATAAATATATCATATTTGCACGTGAGAACCCGGTAAAATGTTCATCTGCCTGGTCTGATCGAGGTTCGTCGCTTTGCGATCCTCTCAGAGATGCAGCTAGCCTATCTGAATGACGTTTGGTCAACGTTGGGAAGTTCGGCGCTGATTGGGCTCACAGGCTGGACGTGACTGCCACCAAGGTCTCCACTCCCAGTCTTGCGGAGCGCTTGGCGCATGGTCTCGATATTGAGTTCGCCACTTAGAGACGGACTGTGTGTCCCTGTGGCGGTGGTTGGGCTCCCAGGAGCCTTGACAGCATTGTCCAAGCCTCGTACAGATGCGGCCACACTTGTAGGAGGAGATGGGCTACCAAAATTGTGCGAGGACGCAGGCGAACGCACCGGGGACGGTGAGCGATTTGTGGTAGAGGAAAGGCTCATCAGATTCAGAGCGTCTCGGTCGTCTTGATCGTGCTCAGCTTGGACGACGTCCGCGAATGAGATGAAGCTCAATCGGCGGGGATCTCCTGTATCAATAGAGCCATAGTTCGATCCTGCCTCATCTTGTAGGTGTAGCGGTATTGCTGGTGGTGGAGCCAACTCTTCTGAGGCTGGAGAGGCCTGAGACATCGATTCGTGAGGGGTGCCACTGACCGCTGCTGATGCGGGATGGTGAGCACTGTGTGTAACAATCTGGACATCATCGGGATTGAGATGGTCGTCAGTAATGGCTATAGTGGATGCCTCAAGCGCTGGCGGAATGTGATCTTCGGTGGTGATGTGAGCTGGAATTGCGGGGGAAAGCTCCCCAGGTAGGAGGGTGCTCTCCTGCACATTGCGTTCGAAGATCTGTGAAGAAGCTGGGGAATGCATTCGAGGAGATGATGAACGATATCTCTGGCTAGGAGATGCAAGACTGGGAATCCGTGGGCTTCGACCTGGTGAAGTAGCTTGCGGTGATGAGGAGCTCTGGAGTGATGCAGCATTCAATGGAGCGGGTGTAGAGGTTGGCCCAGCACCCTTCTCGGCGTCTTTCTTCTTCCCGAAGCCAAATAATCTACGTTTTCCGCCACTCTTGTCTGGTGTCCCAGAAGCGTCCATCTTCTAGTGTGTGTGCTGGGTAGAAAGCGCTCGAGTGACGCTGTTAATGCTGGAGAGCGATCCAAGGCCCTCTGGAAGCCGTTGAAGATGTATGCAACAACTCTGATAGTAGTCAATGCACTGGGCACAGTAAATTCCGCTAGCCTTCGGAGGAAAAGATGCAGAGACGCTGCTGGAGGTGGGCAGCGAGATTTAGCTCAAGACGGATGTCGAGCGGTATTTCGGCAAAGGCTATCAAGCTTAGATAGCAGAAGTTTGGTCGTTGGGAGAACCTCTGGACTCGGGATGGATCTGAGTAAAGGAGTTCTATGGTTCTCGCTTTGTCTTGAGTGTAAGGTCGACTGGAAGGGTAGAAGACGAGACGAGACGAGACGAGAGTGAGGACGGTAGCGCAACGAAGTCGTACGCTTGGAGGGAGGGTGTAAGTTGCGCAATTGGTGGGACGCCGTGGCCGAGGAATGATGGAGAGCTGGGGTACCTGACACAACACCAGGGGCACAGGCTGAGTTGCAGGAGCGGCCACAAATGGGAGGTATATGTGTGCTGTATGCTGTGTGCTATGCTGTGTAATTATAGAAAGATGTCTTCTGCTTTAAAGAGACGAAGTGAAAAACAAAAAATGCGAGACTGCTTTTGCCCGTCGCGTCGTTTCAGCAGCGTGGTGATGTATGGTGGCTTACGTATTCACGGTTCCGTAAAAATAAAATACGCGGCCTGAGGCTACGTAACACTCTTACCCCCCTACTCACTTCTCTTCCAACATCTAATCATTATTATGGCCCCGGACAAAACATAGAAACTCAGCCCCCTACGTCGTCGAATAAGCACAACTTTGACTTCCCACTTTACAATGTGTCTCGTGTCTGCTTTCCCGTTCCTGTTTCTGTTCCTGATTATGTGGATCAGCAGATCAATACATGTTGGCTTTGCTTTTGTCATGGTTGGTCGGCGGTTAAGGCCCACGGTATACGTCATGCCCTACGTAGTGAGTGCATAGGTAATCAGGACCTATTTAATTAGGTGGTGTGTATTAGCCAACACTCGCCCTGAGCCTGTGCCTGTTCCTGTAAGAAGCCAAGTCGCCTTACCGGGGTCTACATATGCACACTGTAGCCTGGACCTGACCCGGCACATATGTGGATATACAGTATCCGACTATTACTCCGCAAAACACTCTTGGCCACTATCACCGTCCTGTAAAAACACGCCCACTGCACCGCCAAACTCGGCATGTTGTCCGAGAGTGATAGCCAGAATGAGAAGCGACAGGATGGGTCATTGGGGCGCCCTGCTGTGCACCGTATGGCTGGTCGAAGCCCCGGATGCAATGTAGCTGCATTTGCACGAGCGTCTTGTGTGATGCTACTGCTCATACTCTTCTTGACGGGCATGCCTCTTGATCTAGCATGCTCGCCACTATCAAGAATATGGAGCCAGTCGCCTAGTATAAATTGTAAGCCCGTCTCCTATCTCTATACGTCGAATTCCGCACGCAACGTGATGCTTCTCCCATGGTAAACAACTCCCTTGACATTCTGCACTCATCACATCACCAAAACACTCCGGTAAATCTTTATCGTTCTTAATGGCACACCGCATCATGTATGAATCTTGCTCCTTCGCCCGTATACCGCCTTTCAGCACGTTGGCCCAATTTCTTGAAACTCAGGTTACAGGTACAGACGTGTGCTACAAAAAGAGCACAATGTGCTAGCATCACATTTATTCTGCGTGCGAGTCCCTGCGAAAGGTTACCTCCCATGATTGAGGGAATAGACTAAGAGATCTGCATAGAGTGATCTGGGAGGCTCCTGCTCTTTCTTGTGAGCACTTTCCCTATCTGAAAATGATACCCTATCTGGGAAACTCAAGTACTCGCATTTTGCACAAACGTTGGTCTTGAGATGTCATGCCGACATCGTTAAACCCTCGAAAACTCCTAATATGTTACTGACTTCATTGATAGCAGGCAGTGCTTTTAACCAGTATGCGTCTGGTCGAGTCGCAAAAGATAAACACACAGGCCGCCTGCCTGCGATGGGCTTTAGTTCATGGAACGAGTATGGATGCAGCATCAACGAGTCCGTGTTCTTGACTGTCGGAGAGCGTCTAATCTCAACTGGCCTCAAAGATCTGGGCTACGAATACGTCAACATAGATGACTGTTGGAGTGACAAAGCTGTCCAGCGTGACAAGGTCACCAAGGAAATACGCCCAGATTACACCAAGTTTCCCCGAGGCATCAAGCATACCGCTGACCGGATCCACGCCCTGGGCCTGAAGTTGGGCATCTATAGCGATGCCGGTATGACTGATCCAGCGACAATCAATATCAAACTCTACTGACTCGAAATTTCAGGATCCTTGACCTGCGCAGGCTATGCCGGCTCTCTCGGCCACGAAGACATAGACGCCAAAACCTTCGCCAACTGGGGCATCGACTATCTCAAATACGACAACTGCAACGTCCCTGCCAAATGGCTGGACGAGTACGAATGGTGGCCAGAACGCTGGACCGGCGGCTCCCTCGACGACGGCCAACCCTCACCGCCCAACTATGATTGGGCTACCTCGAACACGGCCAGACGCTTCGTGCGCATGCGTGACGAGCTCGAGAAACAGCATCGTGTCATCCAGTACTCGCTCTGTGCGTGGGGCCATGGCCACGTCGATATCTGGGGTAATACGACGGGCCAGAGTTGGCGGATGTGGGGCGATATCGCGCCGCAATGGACAGGCCAGGACGGCTCTGCTTGGGGCTTGAGTATGTTCGTTGTCTATAGGTCATGAATGGGGGAGCTAATATGCATGTAGTGCCCATCGTCAATCACGCCTCGTTCTTCGCCAACGTCTCGGACTTCTGGGGACATGGCGACTACGTACAGTTCCTCTCCTCCCCCCTAGGCACTAGCATATCTAACAACAAAACACAGGACATGCTCGAAGTCGGAAACGGCAACCTTACACTCGAGGAGAACCGCTCGCACTTTGCTCTCTGGGCAGCCCTAAAATCCCCTCTTATCATCGGCACTCCCGTAACCCCCCCTCTACAGTCTCTCCCATCACACACCCTCACTAACAACCCCAACAGCTCGACAACATTCCTCCCTCAACCCTCTCCATCCTCTCCACCCCCGCCCTAATAGCCTACAACCAAGACCCCACCTACGGCCGCTCCGCCACCCCCTACAAATGGGGCCTCAACCCCGACAACACCTGGAACCGCACCCATCCAGCCGAGTACTGGGCCGGTCCATCCTCCCTCGGCATCCACGTCTTCATCCTCAACACCCTGGACTACGAAGTAGTGAAAGTGGCGGTGTGGGCCGAGGTTCCGGGCTTGCGGGCGGGACGCAGGTATCGGGTCACGGATATGTGGAGTGGAGAGGACTGGGGCGTGTGGGAGGGGGCGTGGATGGGGGTTGTGAGGGCGCATGATACGATTGCGGTGACAATTACTGAGGTTGATGGTGAGTTTGTTTGAGGGGAACCAGGGGAGGGGTTTCTTGGGGAGTACTGGCTGACTCTGGTTATATATAGGGCGGCATCCGTCTCCGGAGTAAGGAGGTTTGAGGGCGTTGGAGAGAGTGAGAACTTGCATACCTAACATACCTATCAATGCCAGTTTTCCAGCTGTTGACAGCACTTGATTCCGTTTCCTACACTGTTCAAGTGGTTTGAGGCCCAATTCCCGCTAGCGTTTTGCCCAATTGTTTCTGATTCATACTTGATTCTCGGATCGCAGTTAGCACGCTTGTGTCGACCATATGCAATCACAAGCACAATCACAAACACAGCTCGTAGCACAGAAAAACGCTCTTCGAGAACGGGTAAATATATTTCATCATTCGCAAAGCAAAACTATCACATGCCGCACTGCCAGAATGCAAACTCAAAACTCAGGACGCAAACGCAAAACGCCAAGCCTATGAAAAACCCACACAAAGTCCATGCCATGCCATGCCATGCCATGCTCATTTCACGCTTCAAAATTCCATTGGTATAATGCTCATTCCCCAATGTCCCCACTACCGTAACGCTACCGACCCTTGTACCTGTCGTCACGATCATATCCCCGGTCCCTACTCCGGCTTCGATCACTCACGTAGTGTCGCTCTCTTCCATGATCTCTGTCTCTGTCCCGACTCCTGTCTCTGCTTCTATCGCGGCTCCGCGCCGAATCGGCAGATAAGTCGCGACTCCGGTCTTTGCCTTTGGCGCGCCGACTGACGCTGCGACTGAGGCTGCGCACGCGGTCTTTGATGCTGCGAGAGCGGCTGCGGCGGGGTTTCCCACTGCGATCGGATTTGGCGTCGTAGTCCGAGTCGGACCCATATTCGGAGTCTGCGTCTCTGCGCCTTGCACTAAGATACTGTTAGGTCGCTGAAAATGGTTGCTGTAAGAGGAGACTTATGGCTTACGATCTCTTCTTATCAGTCTTCTTCTCCAGCGCACGCAGGCCCGCACCGCCCAAGACAGCCCCGAGAAGGGTTGGAAATGCGCCGTGACCGACCTCATGCCCGACAAAGCCTCCACCGATGGCACCGGCAAGACTGGCCGCGATCTTGCGCTCGCGGTCGTCCATGTTCTTAATGCGGTCCTTGACGCCGCGTGACTTGTTGCGCACTCTGTCACGGTTTGAAGACTTGGCACGGCGCGAGCGGGACTGTGAGCGGTCGCCTTCAGACCGGTCGCGGGAGCGATGTCGTCGAGAGCGGCGTTCCGGTGAAGACGGCTGCGAATACGAGCCTTGCCGGTAGAGTGGCGCAGCGGCTGCCCCTCCTGCTGCTGCTGCGGCCATGGCTTGTGGTGGTGATGGATACATGTTACCTGGTTGCGGAGGAGCGTAGTCGGCTGGGTTATAAGGTGGTATATAGTATTGGTCTTGATTCGGGGGACCTTGACTTGGGTCAAACGGCGCACCATTCGCAGGGTGAGGTGGATATGACCCTTGATATGGACCGGAATAACCTCTTGCTTGCGCATCAAACCCTTGTCCGTCTGGAGGAGCGTAGTTGTTCGCACGATATTGAGGAGACCGCGGAGGGCTGTATCCTGTTGGATAGGAGGGTCCGGAGGGTCCCCGATTGTAGAACTGTTCGCCTGTCGCGGCACCAGCAGCGGCAGGTCCTGCAACTGTTAGCTTTTGCGCATTATACCTCTAAGTCCAACAGGAATACTAGACTGGCGATTCGTAGCTCGTAGCTTCTAAAGGCATGGACAAACAACGTACTGTGATCTGGTGGTTGGCCGTCGCGATCGCGATCGCGACGCGAGGAGCGGTACGGGTCCTCCATGCTCTGTTCTTCTCCCTTCCGCTTTCTCGAGTCTCTTCTCCTTCTCCGTCGGCGAGCTCGACGTGCTTTTTCGTCGGCGGAGGTATAAAAATCGTCACTTGTATAGTTCTCGCTCTCCTCCGAGTATCGTCGGCCGGTACTGGCTCGTCTTCCTCGCTCGTCGCTTCTCGAAGGCTTGTTGCTCGCGGCTCTTCTTCGATCTTCGCGTTCTCGTCTCTCTTTCTCCTTGTAGTATCCGCCAGGTATCGAGTCGAAGAGTTTGTCGGGGATTTTGTCAGCACCGAGGGCGATGGCCTTGAGGGCCAATTTCTGGTACGCCGTCATTGCTCAGCCCGGTCGCTCTTCAGGCCACCCCGGTATGAAATGTGCGTAGGCGATTCACGGTGACGTCGCGTGGCAAATCTGACCAATCAGTGGCAAGCAGACAGAGAGCACCGACGCTGATTGGGCAAACAGGTTGGGCTGTCAGACTTTGTCGGCCAGGGCTGCAGACTCCGGTGAAAGGGACGTGCAAGGTGGAAGATGAGGCAGTGAACCGGAACTGAGTCGTCAGAAGAATAGAAGTAGTACAAGAGGACGGTCGGGCATTTGTAAGGGGATTAGAGATGCATGGATGCACGTCTGCGTCTCCGTCCTCGCCTTCAGGCTGACTGACTGGAACCGATTCAGCCCAAACACGCCACGAGGAGGAAAAGGGCAAAGGGAGACAGGAAAAGGGAAATGAGGGAGAAAACCCAGTGCAATGGATCCCTGCCAGATCGTGCTTTGGCAGGGCTTTTAGGTAGCAGTAGTCGTAGCAGTAGTAGCAGTAGTAACAATAATTACCTTTAAGCAATATCAAAAAAGCAGAACCAGATTATTGTCTTTACCTTCCTCGCTCCGATCATCCAATTCCCGTTCGTTTATGGAAAGCACGACGTCATCACCATAACATCGTGACTACTACTACCATTCACTCCATGGATGCACTCCTTAGCCCGCTCCCACTACTGCACCACCAATACGCGCATCAATATACCCATTGCTCATCCACTCGGCCATCATATCTAGTCCGTTCTTAGCTCTTCTCGTCGCCCTATGGCATTGTTGATGCAGACTTTTGGCCTGCAGGAATTCGATTACAACCCATCGCATGGGGTATGTATCCGCGGCGCCCAGTAGCTTCATGGATCTGCCGGCATCCAATAATCCGATTGCTTCACCGCTCCTTGTATGCCACAAATGAAGCCTTAGTCAGCGTGCTGTAGTATCAGGCTCATATCTGGTGGGACAAAGAGCACAGTAGCAATTCGAATTCGAGTGCCTCCACGGAATACCTCGACTCGACACTGTAGCACAGAGCTTGTCATTGTATTGGACTGTACACTCGTCTGAGGTTGACGCCGTACTTCAGTGGCCGCTGCTCTTAGTGGTGGCAATCTTCTTTGCCCGTTCAATCCAATCCGTGGCGATGGAGTTGATGTCGCTTGACATTTGCTTCTCTAGGATCTCTCGAACCAGCTCCTCTATCTTTTCTGACCGACTAGATGGAATGTCCAAGGTATTCTGTGGAGCTAACCATTTGCGTCCTAATATGGCCGTATTGCGAGTACTCGGAATGCGGAGCATTTCTTTCTCTGCAACAAACCCTACCGCCGCGGTCAATTGTTCCAACCATATACATAGAGCGGCATATGCAGACGGTTGCTTTGTATCCCGTTTGGTGAGAACCCCAGTCTCAACGCCCCTCCGCGGCTGCTCAACAGTCTTGTCGTCTTTCGCTCCGAATTCTGCTGCAGTGCTTTTGAGCGAGCCGGCAGTCGGTGCCCGGAATTTATTCCCGCCAAAGTCGTGGCTACAACACGGTATCGCTACAAAAGGACAGCCAGCCATCGATGCGAGCAAAGGCGTCCAAGCGGTAAGCTCGTCAGCATGATTAGACACGATGAATGTTCCCTCTGGAAATGAGCCGTCATGGAAATCGAGAGCGAAATCCTGAGATGACCTTGGAGATTCAGGTGCCTTCCATGCATCCTGTAGTATTTTTGGGACGCAAACCATCTCTTTTAAACTGTCCGAAACAATTTCTTGGGGTAACGCGTCCCAAGTCTTCCTCTTCCTGACATCGAAGCCCCATCCTTCATACCCTTCGCTTCGAAGCAAATACACGAGAAGGCCATTACCACAGCCGATGTCGACGAAGCCCGGAAATTGTTCGTCGTTCTGGTACATCCTCTTCCATAATTCGATCAGGAATGCTGCGATGCCCAGATCCTCAAACACATGCTTTGCAGGGTCCGTCTTTTCTACCCAGTCTTTGACGAGATCTTTCGCATACTTCAACTTCAGCCGTGTATACGTGTCTTGGAAGTCCTTCTGGGGCACGACTTGATCATGATGAACACGTTTGACATAACCAGCGGCACGACCAGCCATATGCTTTACAATGGTTCCCTGTAGATTTAATGCCGTTCGAGATAGCCGTGTAGTAGGCTGAGTGCCGGTGAAATAGGAATAGAGTATTTGCATATCGCCAGCGCCTCCACTTGTGAGAGACGTGCTGTCTTCGCATAAGTTCGGCTCCGCAGGAGTCGGCACCCAAGAATAAAGCATGGCGAGGCCCTGTATAGCTGGATGAAAGAATGGTACTTGGTCGACATTATCCACGTGAGGTATGTATATGACTAAATGCCGCACAACCTGATTCGTAACAGGCACAGACTCCCCCTTGCTGTCCGATGAAGACAGTTCTGCGCCATGATCTGAGCGTGAGTCAAAATACCAGCATGTTTGTACGAGTGCTTTGTCTCTCTCAGGATTGCGTGGAATAAGCTTTCTAATAACTGTTCTTTGCCATTGCCAGGAAAGGGGGAATTTGTTTTCAAATTGACAGCTCAGGGCAGCCAGGCATAAGCCATCAGGAATGTCTCTTCTCAAAGCTCGAGGGTGTAGTTCCGCCTTCATATGCGGAACAAAGTCGCTCGAGAAGCCTGTCAATTGATCCCATGATGCAGAATGGTCAGTACGGCTGTCGTAAAGTATTTCTGCACGAAACAATAGACTTGACGTGACGTTCGGACTGTGGAGAAGAGTGTCCGTTACAGTATGGAAATGTTCCGGGGCACTGCGGTGATTCTGAGCGGGTAGTGCAATAAGCCAGGGGGTGTCTCTACTCATTTGCGACATGCCTTGCTAGAATAGCTGTATAATCAGCTAGAAGGAGATATGAGGGATCGAAGTAGCATGGCTCAAGTAACCAGTGCAACTCGTAGCTATGGCTCCTGATGTTGTCGTACCTTTCACATGCGGCTCCTCATCGTTATTGATTTTCTGGTGTCGTGCTCGAAATGAATATGTTTGTGGCAGCCACGTGACATATATAGTGCCAAGGATGACTAAAGCCCCACAACCAACCGAGCACACTTCGAAATCGACCGACGCTTCACGAACGAGGTCTGTATCGCACGACAGTCAGCAACTCAACAACGATACCGCCAGGTAAGTTCTTATTCCTAGGGCTGGTGGATGTCTTTGTCATGGAATATCACCTTACGATGGCTTCCACTCGCCGCTGGACCTGAGAGCTTTGACTGACCGTATTCGCCACAGACTTTTTCTGAACGATCACATCGCCAACACCTTTGTAACCAACCGCAATCATGGGTAAAGTTCACGGTTCGCTCGCACGTGCGGGTAAAGTCAAGTCCCAGACACCCAAGGTACGATAATTTCCCCTAAGAAGCGACACCCTACACGGAATCCAGGACGGAAGAGTCAGCGATCGCGCAATGTCTTCACGAGGCCAGCCTCGCATGGATGAAAATTTGTGAGCCTGAAAGCAGAAGCTGACTTGCAGGAATAGGTTGAGCCTCAAGAGAAGAAGAAGAGCCCCAAGGGCCGCGCGAAGAAGAGACTCACATACACCCGCCGTTTCGTGAACGTCACGATGACCGGTGGCAAGCGAAAGGTAGGCAATGTCAACAGTCAAATTTAAGGTCATGGCTCACAAAGATTCCAGATGAACCCCAACCCGACCTCATAAGAAGCGTAGCACGATTGGGGTGGATGGTAACGGCAGTGGTGGTCCTTTGATGGTCTCGTTCAAACAAATCTGAAAAAATGGTTATTCCTCTGGATCATCGGGACTGGATCGTTTATGGATGATGTGATCGCCGGCTGATAGGTCTGGCTCTCGACTTTATGTCATGAACGAATATTGACCAGTCCTTGGTAGGAAGGGGCATACTCGGCGCATCCTGTATATGTGATTGCTTTCCAATTCAATATGCTTGCTCTGGGACACAGCGCTATGCGAATGCTAAGTGCACCAAATTGATATGCGAATTGAGTACTAAAATAGTAGTCAAGTTGAAGACTTGAAAATGTTCTACGACACGCAGTTATACAGCTGAGGGTTTCATGATCAAAAGCCAAGCGAGACTACAGTATAAGACTCACTTTCCTGCTAACAGCTACGCTGTGTCTGACCAGCTGATCGTAAAATCTTGGCTTCATCCTACCTAATCACTCAGCCGTATGATGTCCGGATCCTTCGAAATGTCGAAACGGTTCCGGTCCCTGGCTGGACTCGGCTGCTTCTAGAAGTGTGATCTACTGTTAGGATTTCTCGCATGATGACGTACGTTTGCAGTGCTTTCGCTAGAAGCCAGATCTGGGTAGTCGGATTTGACTATGTTAGAATCGGGCCAAGAATTCATGCAGTGAAGAGGTGTCCCCAGTACGAACACCCTGTATAATTGGCCTTGCACGTTCGGAAATATCACTCATGATGTACTCAAAGGTATTTTACTCAAGACCTTCGTGTCCCTTTGGGTGACACAGGCTTCAACAGTTCGTTCCTTCACGGATCTGCGAGAAGACACTACGCTAGGATGTAGGGTTCGCATCGGCAACGACAAGGTCGTAGGATGTCGACATACGCGTCACAAGGCAAAGAGAGGTACTACCCCTACTCACATTCCCACGACGTTCATCAAAATGTAGCTGATTGATCACTGCCACTTTTTGTGGCGTACCTGCACTCAGCTGGCTGAGATAGGACTAGCGTCATGAGGCTGAGCCCGAATACAGTAACTAAGTTGACGTACCTACTAATGAGCCAACCTACTAATGAACCACGTGATTTAAGTACGACTCCAAACGCCTATATTAATAACTATATACTTAAAATAGAGGGAATTTATATAAATAAGCCTTATATACCTCCTTAGAGACTATCTATCTAGTCTATAGTAATTAAGTCTCTAATTCCTTAAGCTTTTCCGTACGTTTAATAGCTTAAACTACCTCTACTACTACCTTCTTCTTCTCCTTATCTATAGCCTTCTTTATATATATAATATTTATAAATTACTTATTAAGGTCTATTTTAACCTTCTTCTATTTCCTCTTTTAGACTAGGTATTAGAACTTAGCCTTAGATAGAACCTAATCTATACGTACCTTAGCTAATAGGGTTAGAAGGTAACGTGAAGGGCGGTAAATAGTTACATACTAGATAGATCAGCGTCTCTTTATATATATACTCTTAGATTCCTACTAAAAGGGTTTAGGAGTAATTTGTTCTATAATAGAATATACTCTATTATTCTATCTAACTATACTACTATCTAATAACTCTATTCTTATATTTAAATTACTCTCTATATAGTACTATAGTTAAGATAGTCTAACTAGAACTAAGAAGGTCGATATAATCTACTATAGAGATAAGTAATACTATATTAAATAATAGAGATCCTCTATAATTAGTATTAATTCTAGCCATTTCTAACTAAGAAGTAGAGATATTAGACTAAATCACGGAGCTTTTAGACGAAGAAATAGTAGATACGCTAAGTAACTTCTAATAATATAAAACTAGATAATAAGTCGTGACGGAGCCATATAAGGTATTATAATAAACTATTACTAAACTTTAGAAATATATCGCGAATTAGACTTAAGAGATTTAAACCCTTAAAGAATAGATAGAACGCACGAAACTCCTTGTAAAGAGACGAGAACTTAAGGAGTCTCTTAAAGAACTACGCCGAACGATAGTAGATAGACGACTTTCTATACTAATTTAGGCGGAATTAGTTTACCTACTATTAGAGTTATAATAATCTACTATATACCTAGCCGCTTCGTTACCGATTTACCCTACTTCTTCTCTAGATATACTAAAATCTAAAGACCTAACTATATTTATAGAGAAGAACTAAAAGGAGTAGAAAGACTAGAAGAGAGACTACGAAAAGTACTTCCTTAATAACCCTCTACTCTTTTCTACTAAAGTATAACATATTTCATTCAGAGAACGATACCTAGACTTATAATCCCGCGATTAATAGAATAGATAGAAGGAATTATAGCTACTATCTACGATAACCTAGAAATATTTAGCTATATTTATACTAAACACCCTCAGAACAGATAGAGAACATAAAAGAAAGACACTATCTAAGTTAAGAAGCGTAGTATAACGACCGAACTAGATATCTACTTAACTACTATAATACCTCTAAAACCTATAGAATAATATCCCTACGCTATAGAAAAATATTTATATATTCTAGTTTTACGAAGTACTACTTCTATTAATCCGTAAAAGACTAGAAATAGTATTATTAAGTTTTAACTATCTATATAAATTAGAGGAGAAAGCTAATAAATACTACCGTATCCTTAAGGAACGTGGCTCTCTAGGTAAAACCGACAAACTCTATACGGGTTAGAAACGAGGTTAATCGAATACGTTCGATTAAGAGTAACCTTACCGCGATTAGTACTAGAAGAGCGTAAATCGGGGTAGAAACGCGTTAAGAGAATACTAAAATAATTAAGGCGGTACTTCTTAATATAGAAAAGGATAAGATATAGACTTAAATATAACGCCTATTATAAAATAGTAGGATTATAGCGTACTTCGTTACTATAAGTATAGAGAAATAGAATATATTTTATCTAACTATAAGAATCTAAAAAAAGAGTAGGCTAGTATATAAGATCTAACCGTATTCTTAGCTAAATTATATATACTTAGAAGAAGCCGTAGCGCCTTCCGGCGAGTAAAGACCTAATATTATTAAAAGTATTATTACCTATAGTAAATAGTAATAAAACTATATAGGCCCTCGTAGATACTAGTATAGAAGATAATTATATTTTATTAATTCTTATAAAGGAGTATAGATTATCGTATAATCTTAGTAAAGTTAGCCGAACTATTATAGTTAATAGATATAAAGTTAGAACTTTAGATAAAGCTATAATAAATTACGAAGTTTATAACTTAAAGATAATAAAATAGTAGATATCTAATAAATTTATTATAGCTAATATTAGCTAATAGAATATGATTCTAGGGATGCCTTAGCTTAGACGCCTAAACTCTATCCTTAATTTTTAGAAGAAGATATTAACGTTCTAATAATACTATAGTAAATTATACTAGTAAGTTATAACTATTAGTAAGGAGATATAGAACCTCGCTATATGGACCCGATTATCGCTAATCTATCTTACGTCCTTATTAATTATTAATAAAGATAAGAATAATAGTAATAATTAGGGCGAAGACACGCTACCCGACGTATATTCATAGTATATAGATATATTTTTAGTAGAAGATATATTACTTCTCCCTAATTATAGGCCGTATAAGCTAAAGATTAAGCTTAAAGAGAGAGTAGACATCCCTTATAGTCTACTTTACCTACTTTCGAGACTAGAACTTAAAGTTCTTTATAAATATATTAAAGAATACCTCGGAAGAGGCTAGATATATTATAGTATATTATTAGCTAGTATATCTATTCTCTTTATAAAGAAGAAAGACAGAAGTTTATATCTATACGTCGACTATTAGGTACTAAATATAGTAACTAAGAAGAATTATTATCTATTACCGCTAGTTAGTAAATCTTTAGACTAATTAATAAAGGTAAAGTACTTTATAAAGCTAGATTTATAAGATATATATTACTAGCTTTGAATTCGTCGTAGAGATAAGTAGAAAACTATATTTCGGACTAGATATAGTTATTTTAAGTATACTATTATACCATTCGGGCTAATAAATATACTAGGAGCGTTTTAAGGATATATTAATACTATACTTATAGAATTACTTAACGTAATTTATGTAGTTTACCTTAATAATATACTAATTTACTCTAATAGTATATAGAATTATAAAGAACACGTGAAATCGGTACTAAATTATCTAAGATAGTATAAACTCTACGTAAAATTATCTAAATACGAGTTTTACTAATAAGAAGTTAGGTTTCTTAGCTTTATTATAATATATAGCGGCCTAAAAATAGAGCTAGAGCGTATAAAGACCATTATAGAATAGCTAAAACCTACTACTATACGTTAAATTAGAATATTTATAGGTTTTATAAACTATTATTATAAATTTATTATAGACTTCTTATAAATTATAGCGCCGCTTAATAAACTTATAGAGAATAGCGGTAAAATCCCTATAGGTAGGCGAGTATAGTATAAAGCTAAGTCGGTTAAGATATAGTTAACACCGGAAGCGCGAGATATATTCTAATTATTAAAGAATTACTTTATAACTACGCCGATTCTTAGGTATTTTAATTCTAAGAAGTATATTCGGGTCGAAACTAACGCGTTAGAATTTATAATTACTAGAATTATTAGTTAACCGTATAAAGATACGAAAGATAAGGTATAATAGTATCTAATTACTTTCTTTTTCTATAAAATAGCGGATATAGAGACGCGTTATAATATATATAACTAGGAACTACTTATAATTATTAAGAGTTTTAAGTAATAGCGATATTATTTAGAAGGCTCTATATATTAGATTAAATTATTATCGGAT